TCAGGAGTCCCCTCTGGACCGCCGCGCTAAAACTAGGTCACCGCGCGCGACGTCGCCGGCGTTTTTGCAGTTTGAAACATGGCAATTGGCCAAGTTTAGGCCCGCCTCTCTAGACGATCGATACAACACTTTTTTGTTCCGTCTGTGTAGTCCCCATTTCTGCATTTGTTTTTGCTTAGTCCTAGCAAATTGCCACGTTCCAACTTGTAAGGACCGGTAGCCGCCGCGTGCGGTGACCTACTTTCGCTTGCGCGGCGACCTCAGGGGGACTCTTGCCGCAAAATTATGGGGATCGCCCGCTCGACTTCACCTTATCATGGAATCCTGCTCTATGAGCAATTTCCACAATTACATAATTGTGGGTTGCTGCGCGGGAAAAGGCAGCATCAGTGGCGAACAGTGTCAGAAATGAAAGACAACTTAATATATTTGTAGAGCAACATTGAAATGGTAGTAATCCATAGGCAAAGGGAACTGCTAAGAACCCTTCAATTCGCGTTGCAGTGAGGTGATGCGGATGAGGTACAGCAAAAGTAGAGCGGAAGATAGGGCCGCGAAATCTCTGTAAATGTTGGCGGCAAGATATATGCCTTTTGTCAGTATTGTTGCGTTTGGCTAGGAACCGCGCTACAACCTATCCATGGTACCTCGGCACTGGCTTAGCATCCAATCTGAAAAAGCATTGGCAAATACATGGTGGGTACAGAATTGCCGCCCAATTTGGCTATGTGAGATCGTGCGCGGCGTCACATTTCGAGTGTTCTTTTTTGTACTGGATGTCTCGTTTTTCATGCATTATACGCACCCGCATGGGATCCCAGCTATGTTAGCACCGAAGATTTTTAGATTTTTAGAAAGGGGATTGCGGGGTGAATGTAGAAATGTCTTCTCAGCAAAGGAATAAGAACCACGTTCATCTCTGGACCGTGTAGTGATTGTGGATTCTGGCTCCGCTCAGTTTGGCTCATGCCCCACCCTAGGATCACTTATGCCTTCTCATAACCAACCGTTTTCCACTTTTCCCAGTTTCTGGACTTTCCCTGAACCAATTTATAAGTTTCATGGGTAACACCACCCATTTGACCGCATGTCCAGCCCATCAACAGCATCTCACCTTTTTTCTCTGACCAATTTTACACACTTTTTCCCTGGCCTTTTCATGTGCTTTCAACCGACCTATAAGTTTTTTGGGAAACACCGTGCACTTCGGTTACGCCAGGCCAACAATTGTCATTTGTCTTTCCCTCCTTCCCTGATCTTCATCTCTGTCCCTTCATCCATATGTCTCTGAACTCTTAACCGTATTGGGATGGTTTGCGGGATGCTCCACCCTCCTTACTACATGCCCGCCCACCGATAACCTCCTTCCCTTCGCCTTTCCCTATCTGGTTCCTCCGGTCTATGGATATCCTTGAAACCGAGTTATAATTTTGGTAGCAAGCTTCGCCAACATTGCTGATGCCACGCTCACTATCACTCATCCTTCCCTCCTCCACTGACCTCTTTCCACCTTTTTCCCTCTCTACATATAAGACTTCTCCTAACCGAATTGTGAGGACTGTAGAAAATCGCTGTTCACTTCAAAGGAACGCTCGGTCTGTTGTGACTGGGCCTCAGCTCACGTCATGTGTGCTGGAACACCTTATACCTTGCCTTCCTAACCCAATTTTTCTGGAGAAGAGGCTTTCTCCTAATCTTGTTACCAACTTTAGACTGAGCACCGTTTTCTTAGAGAAGGCCCCGCCCAGGTGGGTCCTTGATTCGATCTGGCTTATCAATGCACATCTTCATTCATTTTTCCCCGTCTCTGGTCTGTTTGGAATCGAAATTGAAAATTTTCGCCTTCAGTACCGCTAGCTGGGCTCCGCTAAGCCGATGCGTCCTTTGTACTTCTTAAAACATGGCCCACCCATCCCACACTAGACCCGTTCTCTCCAGGCGGGTCTCTAGGTAGTACATAGTGGATTTGACGAGCAGAATGACAGATCGACAGAGGAAGTGCTTCATGGCAAGTGGGATCCTCGCAATGAGGGTCAGGAGGAGCGCTTAGCAGATAGAGACGCATGTGTGGCGGAGGTCATTACCACTCAACTGCCGACGGATATACCGAGGTAAATGTTCCGGAAGCGGTGTTTACTGAGGTGTCGAACGACGCTAGAGTACTCGTAGTACAAGTTTGCGTTGAAAAGACAGCTCAATAGAAAGCAAGGTAGAGGTGGTCAATGGTGAGGAGAAGACGATAAAATCATGAGAAACGGCCCAAAACTCGAGAAATAGGACCTCTTCTTCCTACTAAGATTCCCGCATTGATGCGACTCTCATCGGTGCTGCCCTCTTCAACGCAACGCTTTCTCTGCTAAACAGCCAGAGTCAGACGGAGAGGGAATGGGCGGGCAGCGGCTTGACTGGTGCGGTGTGGCCTTGCTTAGCCGTTGGGTGCCTACCCTTGA